TATAGTGACAACGATTTCTTGTGACACAAATTTCCCATCTTAAGAATATTTTGTGAATGAATGAGAATGAGTAAAATGATAGGGATTCGATGTTGGTGTTCTGAAAGGTGTGTGGTTGAAGCTGTGGTTTTTGTGAGTTTAAGGCTTGTATTGGGAAATTGGCTGTCTCAGGGCATTTTTTTCTGTATGGAGGGCAAGCACATCATGATTTTGGTTAACAATCTTCAAAGTGCTGACAAAAGCGTTTCTTTACTAGGTCTTAAAGGCGGTGCCATAACGCATTATTTTATTGCTTTTTGTGCATTTGTACACATTTTATTAACCCTCATACACATTATGTGCATTGAACTGCTTGTCATTGATATTTGCACATAATTATTTTACCCAATCACCTACGGAGGTCACGATTACCTTTCCCTAAAAGTAAGAATATAGAAATACATCGTTTGTATAACTATTGCCATAGTTTTATCCTCTTTTAATATTTCTACCCTTTAACGGGAAAACAATAGAGGGTGAAGTAAGCTAACACTTACAAAGACATGAATATGAAGTAGACACCCATTTTCCACTTTTTCTCCGCTCAGCATTTATAGTGATGTCAATATTCTACCCCAGACGAACTATTTTATTAGCTTAACACGGTCAAGTAGCCGGAAAGGGAGAGTAAAGTTGATTCCCACTCTTTTTCTTCCGACAGGTCCACCAATGAACACACATCGTAGCTTATTGGTTGGGTTAATCGCTGCGCCATGTTTTTTAAAAGGATAACAGCAATTTCATTTATCGTGGGAGTCCTAACTGAAAGTCCACGTTCGTTAAATTCATTTTTTAGAGAGGTGGCCCTTTCTCCAGGCAATTCACACATAACGATGCGGTCAAAGTAGCTCAGCTGAGGGCAGACATTAAAGCTAATTCCATGCATTGATATCCAGCTTCCCAGTTGCAGTCCAATCGAACCTAGTTTTTTATGGGGCTGATCTTGATAAGCATCAGACCAGATGCCTGTTTTATAAGTATGGGTGGGGATGTTGTAGTGGGCCGCTGTGTCCATCATGGTAGACTCCAAAACATGACTAAACCACTCAATGGGCGAGCGAACTTTCTCAGTTGTGCATTTCTTCCACAGTGTCAAAATGTTGGCAATTGGGTAGACCGTCAGTTGCCCGGGCCCATGGTATGTGATACCGCCCCCCCTTCGAGTCTTTACGACGGTAATGTCGCATGGCTTAGGAAGGTCACTGTCCGTGTTGCGGCGCCCGATGGTATAGACAGGATGCGCATGCTCTACCATGATTGTTACATCTGGTAGCAGAGGAAGTGATACTTCATTACGTAGGACGGAGATCTGGCGCTTGATTTTTTGGTTAAAAATGATTTCCTGCAAGGCTAGTGTTTGTTTATAGTCACGCTTTCCAACAAAAAAAGTCTTCATGATCTTTTAAACAGGTAAGCTACAAGTTCGAACAATATATATTAAAAAAAAAGGTCCGAGCTATGTGAATTTTTGAAAATGTTTCGCGAGTGCAAAAATTAGTTGTTGTTTTTCAAAATTTAGGTCTTCATCTTTGCTCGCTTTTTAACACTCAAGTCACTTACATGCTAATAGTTTGACAAACGTTTTTGTTTTACATAAAAAGTGAACATTTTCTACAAAATTTGTTGTTATTCAGAGCTTTTTTCCATGTCAATAGTATTCTTGTCGCCGAGATTCTTATTTAGTTTATTTTCATCTTGCATAAGTTGTTTAACGTATGTATCTGAAAAGTCCATGTACTCTTTTTCGAAGAGGAGCTCGACAAATTGAGCTGTAACCACAGTTTCAGTCTTAGATACGATTCGAAGCTTTGCGAACCATTGACTAAGGACAACAGTGTATTCAGTTTCATTGGTGGATGCAAGTTCGATAACCTTTGGGAGGCCTACGATTTTTATGGATAAGAAATCCTCTGGAAAGTTTGTGGTTTGAAGCGGAGTCAATGCCGGGAGGGGCAACTCATTTCCAACATCCAGCTGATTTAATTGATCCCCTAGCGGAGGGGGTGGGGCATAGAAAAATGCTTCATCCGGGAACACTTCAGAAGCGCACAGGCAAAGTGCACTGAACCCTAGTGGCCCATGTGTCCCTAGGAGCGTCCCCTTAGCGAGCTCCATCACCAGTTCCGCTGGCTCCGGCAACAGGCCCGTGAGTTCATCACGGTGGCTTGTCATCAGAATTAGTGCGAGTTTTCCGTAAGATGGTATTTCAGAGCCGACCTTTTGGTGCGCAGCCAGACACATCATATTGATTTGCACATCAGTCAGCCCACACTGTTGTAGATATCCTGCAAGCGTAGGAATTTCTTTGGCGTGTGAGATAAGCTCGCAGGCATTTTGCGCGGCTTCTTCACATGTGGTATCTAATAGGGCCGTTCTAGGGGGTGGGTAATGCAGAGGCAAATCTGAGATTTTATTCCACACAATTAACTCATCTTTGGATACGGTGATCCAGCGATCTAAGAAAATCTGGTTCTTCTCGTCAGGATTTTGTGGTTTGTCAGCCGTGGCGATGGAACCCTCCGGCGTCACTTGGTTGTGTGATTCATTGCCTTCCATCTGGGCCTGCTCACTGGCCATAGCAGCACTACTACCTTCGGGATCTACTGGCGGCTCTGCCCCCATCATTAGGTTGTCTTTGGATGAGTAGTCTTTTTCGACTGTTTGAGATTTTTCCTCGTGCTCATTTTCATCTTTGACATGCGATGACGAGATTGGAGACTCTCGAGGAGATACTTCCATCTTTCGAATTTCACTTGTTCCCTCCGTCTCCTCGTTTGGTTCATTTTCCATTTCATTTGATTGAGAAACATCTGCTTGATTTTCTGTTTCCTCGTTTGGTTCGTTTTCCATTTCATTTGATTGAGAAACATCTGCTTGATTTTCTGTTTCCTCGTTTGGTTCGTTTTCCATTTCATTTGATTGAGAAACATCTGCTTGATTTTCTGTTTCCTCGTTTGGTTCATTTTCCATTTCATTTGGGTAAGAAAGATCCGTTTGGTTATTTGCTACATCATCGACGTCTTTTACATCTCTCCCTTCCTTGTCAAAAATTGCATTATCAGGGGAGCCCACGATTTCGCCTAGGCGCTCCGAAAGCGTCATGCTGTCCTTCAGCCAGGCTTGTAACCCCATGGCGGTGCAAATGCCGTTTTCGACCCCGATGGCATCTTTAAGGGTAAGGATTTTATGTGGGGTGAGTGTCAAGCCGAGAGCCTTTTCCACCGCCTCAATGAAGCTTGTAAAAGGTATCTCGTCTTTCGTGACGGGGAAATGCTCTTTCCAGAATTTGAGCCCATCTGGATTTGTGAGGGACTGAGTAATAGGGTCTGGCTTGCAGAGACCACTTATTATTTTGCAAATATTCGGCGTGTCCACGCCTTGGATCTGATTTCGCATCCTGCCTTCTTTATAGAGAATAAAATAGGGTTTTGAGTGTCCACAACGGCTTTGAAGGATAGGTCCCCAAAAGGAACTTTTGGTATCTTCATAGTATTCTATAGTCCTGTGGGGGATTTTTTTTTTCTCCACCAACGAGTTATCCATTTTTTTCATAATGGTATCACACTCTACGGAGAAAAAGTGAATGCTAATTTCACTTCCAAAGTCGGTGTAAAGTCGTTTGAATGTTTCCCCAAGAGCCTTGCAAGAACTCCACTCCGTGTTATAGATGTCGAGGACGACAACGCCTTGATCTTCCTGACAACGCTGAAGCTGGAACTCTAAGTGAGTGCCGTCGGAGATGTTTTGTACCACCTCTTTCAGATGACCAACCTGCATCGTACTTTGATTTTGTGAGGAGTAATTTGTTCAACACTTGCTTAATTCAGTATAATAATAAGACAGAAAGTTACCTATAATTGTATATATGTATCAAAGGATCCACTAAAAAAAGTGAACAAAGGAAACCACGTGTAGACCTGTGGTAGACACAAGGTGAAAAAGAGCAATTCACCGGAATCTGAAGAGTAGATGAATATTCAATCAAATACACATTCGTTTAATAAGAAACACCCTAGGGTAATCAGATGGGATCAACCTAAGATCATTATGTGCCATTCCCCAATCGGTTGGATTTAATATAATATCATAAAGAAATATATAAAAAGAAAAGAAACACAATTGAAGAGATCGGTGGTCTCGTATGATACTAACATATTATCAAACAGTAGCCTCAGGATTAAAAAGATAAAAACGTATTGTGGGAAGTTGTTCCTCAAAGGACATGGTAGCGCGGTAGGATAGTGTATTATTACATCTAATGCGGCCGTCAACCGAGCTGACCACAACCCCTCCCCATGCATCATCGGTGTTGAGATATTCTTCATTGATTTTAATCGAAATAGAGGACCCGGTCTTAATTTGATACCAATTCATTAAATCATTCAGCATTTGATGGATTTCAGTTTCATCTTCCTTGCGGCACTGAATAATAGCGTCTGTTTGGATGGCAAGGATAGACTGGCGAACAATATTAACCAGTAGAGGTCTATAAGTGCTAGGATTGGCTACTATTGTTTCGACCTTCTTACGGGTATTTTCGTAAAGGGTTTCCATAATTTTAGCTCGCTCCTCCATTACCCGCATGCGTTGCGTTTTCGTATAGTTCGCTCGAGCCACTCGGCGGTCTACGTCGACTTGCTTTTTCTTCTTTTCAAGGTTTTGGCGTATTTTCAATTTTTCTTGTTCGACTAATCGCATTTTTTCGATATCATATTCTTCTTGCGCAGCACATTCCAATTCGTCAACTTTTTCTTGGGCTTCACGATCGATGAATTCGATCATGGACTGAATTTGCCTGAATTCATTCATGAGCTTCACCGATTAGCTCGTGTAAGCGTGTGGATGTCTTTTTAGTTATTTTCTTTAACTAACAGTTGTAAAATAAAGGCTGATATCAGAGAAACATGAAGCATTTTCTGACAATTTTGATAAAATTAATGACTTGCATATTATACACTCAATGTAGATTGGAAATTTTCCCGATTTATATGTTTTTCCGATTACCCACACAGAAGTGGGACTGTCGAATGTTGTCCCTTAATAATAGGACTGGAGTAAAGATTACTTAGTTTCGATAGCAAGATTATAATCCTGATAGAATACCCATAAAAGCATTAAGCAAAGCGGAGTATTGACTGGAATAACGTGCGTTCGCCAGAGCTTGAATCGTCTACAATGCTCAGTTACTAGCATAGCGTAGAGAGACCAACCAGTGAAAACAACCAAGATGCTTGTTGAAGGGATAACTACAAAAGGAGTGGCTGCCGCGGCACTTATCGCCCCGATGATAAGTAAGTAGTTTTTAAAGGAGGTAAACCAGTGAATTCCTTCGCCACATGAAAACAGCACGTAAAAGCACATACACCAGCATGCAACGCCATATGTCCAAAATATCACACCTAGCAGGCCTAGCATTTCGTCAAAAGTTTATATTTTGGTAGTGATTTTCTATCAGAGTACTGCAGTATTCGATTTTTATAAAGGAAAAAAGTTCATTGGTTTATTAATGTCATTATTCTATTGTGCGATCTCCATTTTCATTTATATATTTGGTTTTCTTTAAATATTGAATAGTTCAGTACGAACACACTACAGGACTTTATTTGCCTTTTATTAAATCTCATCCTGTTGTTGCCAGGTCAAATGAAGAAGACACTTAATCATATGTTTTACGGTACGTTTTCATTCATTCACTACTTGAAGGATGAGTGAAACTAAAAAGGAATAGTAAATTCCCATAGAGATTTACACGAACCGCACCACCTAAACAAAAATAATATGAAATATAAATGTATAAAGCCGTAACGAGCCGCAATTGTTTTGTGAACGCCATACAAAGTCATAATCTTTAGTTAGGTGAATAAATAAGACTTTCGACTTTTTGGAAGCATTTAGCTTCGATAAAGCTCACCGCTTGGTCTTTTTTCGCACTCTTGTAGTGATCCAGAAGAGTCTTGCAGAGCTTGGGTTGGGTCCTCCAAATTTTACGGAGCGTCTCGAGGGCTTCCTTGCGGGTGGGCTCTGATGGAAGCGTCGTTCGGACGCTACGGCCACTATACACCCGGGGGATTTCCGAAGTGTGGTTGATTACTTCCAAAGGTGGAACGTCCAGGGCGACGTTGGTGGATTGAAGCACCAACCTTGGGAGATGTCGGCTCGCGCCGAAGGCATAGAAGGCCATCGATCCCGCCTGTGAGGAATCCTCGCGCGTTTGCCTCAGAAGTGACTCGATTTCGTCGACTTCGGCGTCGGCCCTTGGTTCGGCTTCGGCCACTTGCCTTGGGAGGGCACTCATGGAGGAGGCATTAATGAGGGATGCGTCCGCGGTAGGGAGTGAGGGATTCGTCTCCGGTGTTCTTCCCTCGACTTCCTTCAGGACTTTTTCAATTTCGTCATCCAAAAATGTGCGGGAAAAGCAAAAGTACTTCCGCACGACATCTTCCCAAAAACTTTTCCGCGTATCCTCATTCACGACATGCTGCGCAAAGATGACGGCCAGAATTGGAATTTGCCTGAAGACATCGTTCTGCATCTGCTCCGTGATGGGTTTGAGGCGAAAGGAGCTGCGATCTACCAAACTCTCAAGCGCGTCGAATGTCTGCACCACACCTCGATGTGATTCTTCGCGAAGAATCTCGTGCAATTCCGATTCATTCAGGATACCGACTTCAACGGCGACCTCGCAAAGGGTCGAGGTGATCCAGTCTTGGTGTATTGTTTTCGTATTATTGGTAGAAGCCTGCGCTTTCACCACCCCTTCCACGAATTCCTTCCGCGCGGCTGCGTGATCGAATTGAATGAAGTGCGTTTGATCCACAGTCGCCACCTTCGCCGCTTTGTCATCCTTCCGAGAGCAAAGGAGCTGCGTGACTTCGCGGGCGGCGAAGCGCACCACATCGTCTCCTGTTGAATGTGTGGGTTTAAATGTTATCAACTCGCCCTTGATCCGAAGGACACCTTCCTGTTGATCGAAAAAGACCTGCATGGGGAAAGGGATTTGAAGTTCCCTTGTGGTTGCCTAAAGTGGTTTCTCCCCTCCCGCTAATTCACAGAGGTTGATAGGAAAACTCTAAATAAAGTTGAGCAGTGAGGTACTTTTTTTTTTAGGGGGAGAGGGGTATCCTCCTCGCCCACACCCAACGGGTTTAGAGCGAAGGTAAACAAAAGCAGTGACCACAACTCACGTATAGAGGGTAAATAGAGAGGGTAATTGAATTTCTCTGCTTCTTCATGAAGAGAGGGAAATGGGTGAGAAAATAGTCATATTTTTAGGGGTTTTGCCAAGTGCAATGATCTAACAGTAGAACATGGTATAGTGAAAATATGTTGAATAAATTATACATCTTGCTACCTGAACCGTTTATGAATAGTTTAGGTCTGGAAAATGAAAGCAGAAAACGTATGAGCCCCATGTGGAAACGAAGAGATTTGCAATAACAGATATACTATTGTAGATTAACATCAACTTGATAGCTTTTTCGTCCGTAAGATCGACTTGGTAGGCGATGGACAATGGGTATGCTTTCTGTGGTCCTTATTTTTGTATGCGACCTTTACCTAATAGTGTTATTCTTGCGAGGGGTTCGCATTGACCTCAGGAATTTTCCAGCAGTTTTGTAGTGTTAGAACAAAGCGGTCATCATCTAATATCGAAGGGGAAAGATCCGCGTAGTAGTTAATGAACTCTTCGAGCGTCACCGTCCCTAGTTTATGCCGGAATGCCGCTGGCCACGAGTTCTCAAAGTCCAATATAGCCTCCTCTTGGGTAATCAAACCATCCTGGACATTTGGATGAAGTGAGGCGTTGTGGGAATATAGGCTGTAGATGGGCTCGAACTGCACCGATCCTTTTCCCACCATGAGGAGCTTTTGATAAGCCTCGGTAACCGCCTGAAGCCGTACGGTGGTCAAGTTACCACGAAGTTCGGCCAAAAAGTCCTGAACCCGGACTACGTTATTGCCGTCGGTGTCGAATTTTTTAACCACCACATCTAATTCCACAGGGCGCAATCGGACTCCAAGACGACTCACAAGGTCCCCCAGCTGTGTGCGGTTAAGAAACGTATTGCGGTGTTCACTGCATGCCACCCCCAGAGCGCGCGAGATCGCCCGGAGGCCGACGCGTCCACCGAAGTAAATGGCGCCCTCTCGGATCCAATTCATGATTTTTTCCACTTCATCCCCACACGTTATCGGCATGGTGCTCGCCATCGTCGTCGGGAACAATTTGGACGCTCGTTTCTTGAGTCCCTCGTCGCCAGCATTGTAGGAAAAGTAAAATAAATTTGCCCCTTCCACCGCGACCGCCTCACGAACACGCGTGTGTTGGGTTGTGGCGTACCCACACGAGATGGCGTACTCCATCCCGTAGTTGGTGCGCTGAAGGGTGCCATCACAACGTAGAGGAATATTCGTAATGGCGTGAAGTAATACGATGGGATCGCCGATGTTCACAACCCCCCCTTCGTGCGTGGCTTCACGCTTTGCGCAGGGCTGGCAGACCACAAAAATGTTATCCGCCCCCGCGTTCATCGCGGCGGCGACGGTTTGGCCTTCCGACGCGTAGCGCCCCGAGCCGAGCTGGGATTGAAGGTAGTAAAATCCCTTCTCACTCGCGCACTCATTGCAGATTCGAATGTGCTGCCCGTAATGAAGCTCCATCGGCTCGTTAAAGCGTTGGTTATAGGCCGCATTATGGCTGTCCACGCCGCGTTCAATCACCCAGGTCGAGCGCACCGTCGGCGAGCGATTGGGCATCCCTACCACCAAGGCCTTCTCCGCATTTGCCAAGCGGCGCGGGGACAAATCCAGCGCGAGGGCGCACTTAGATTGGGCGTTGAGGATGAGAAGTGGGGTGCCGAATTGCACCGCGCCGGACGCGGCCCCTGACAGAATGGTGCCGAGTTCCAGAGGATGGGGGGTCGTCGGGGACTGCAAGACCGACCTTTCCTTGTGCGTTTGGTATAACTTCAGCCTGTCTTTCTCCACACACATGTCCTCAAACCAATTCCCAATCAAAACGCCAGGGGAGTAGCGCTTAAAATTCTCATGGCTTATGGTGTTTCCATACATTTTTTTGTTTTAGAAATTTGGAGGATCGACTTTGGAAGACGCGATGATTTTTCTTGCTGATTTAATCTTGTCTTTGGAAAGCCCAAACTGAAAAGAGGGAAGAAGCTGACGGATCCTCTAACAATTTCTAGAGAGGAAAAAAACAAATATAAAATAAAATTTTGTTTAGATCGAACCTTTAGAGATTCATACTGTTAATGTTGTTTATTTTGTTTGAGATCTGCTCATGACCCTTCAAGTTGGGACAGCATACCCTCATGTGGCACCGCAATGCACTACTTCAATGCGCTCGCTCGGAAATCCATTTGGCTGAATAGGTGTGTTTTCTATCGCTTTGACAACATCCCACCCATCAACTACTTGTCCAAAGCAAATACAGGTGCTGTCGAGGTGGTGAGCAGCACCCGCAGTCAAGATAAAAAACTGCGAGCCGTTGAGATGGGGTGCGCTTACAGCAGTTCCTAACAACCCTTTGCGGTCGAATACCGATGACTGAACCTCGTTTGGGGCATCAAACGTTTCACCGTAAATCGAAAGCTGTTCCGTGCCTCGCGCACTAACTAGATCGCCTCCTTGTATTAGATAGCCTCGACATATCCGATGAAAAGTAGTATTGCGGTATGTGAGTTGGGGGAGGAACTGGTCGCCAAAGGAAGGACTACTAAGGCCCTCTATACTCGGTACCTCGGAAAGAACGTTTTCACCCGTACATAGCTTCAAAAAATTCTCTGAAGCCACGGGACACTTTTTGTAAAATAATTCAAAGGATACCCTTCTAGGATCCTTCCCGTCGATTGATATGTCCATAAAGACATTTCCATGGCGTTTCGTGGCACGCAACAGTAAATTTAACCGAAGCATCCAAAGTTTTTGTTACCTTTGTTGGAAAAGAGCAAGAGGGATTGGGGCTTTTGTTATTGTAATTCGTGAAAGATAGCCAATTTGATAAAAACGAACAACGAATTCCAGACCTAAACTTATTAGTACTTGTGCTTTTTTTTTCATCCTCTCGTACAGTGGTTGACTGAGTATTTTACACAGAGAGATAGAGAGGCTAAAATAACATTACTCTATCGAGTAGAAATAGCAATTTTTGTGGGCTCTGTTATATAAATTCTAGTATTCGTATCTATGGTAATAATTTCTATCAAATAATTAGTCTTTTTATTCCTTTCATCGTATTGATGAAGCTCATGAATAAAAGACAAAAACTTGCACTTTGTCACATTTTGTGATCTATGTGCATCTATAGACAACATTTCACTTCTCTAACGAGTGAAAATATTTCATCAATGTTGACTCGCCCACAGACTACATCCTCTATTGCATCCTCTTGTGCTAGGAAAGTTTCCCAACCGGGTTCTAGGATGACCTCGCGCCAATTATCCCACTCAAAGTATCTACCGCATAACACGCATTGCTGGGGATCAAGGGTTCTTACCACACGTGAGCTGAGAGTGCTCAGCTCTCGTAGGCTATGGACATAGGCTGGAAATACGGTCTTGCTTTTCAGATGATAGGCAATAAGGTGATTTGTATGTAGCAGTAGTTGCGGGTATTGCGGCATTAGCCCGGGCACTCGTCCCATCGCTCCAAACCCTCGGACATCCATGTACTGACTAAGCAGGCGTGATTTCAATGTGTAGTTTTCCCCTGAAGCGTGTTTGTAGGTGAGGCGCCGATTACTTATCTCAATCCCTACCAACCCCGAGCGTCGTGGAAGTAAGAGAAGAACCCGCCGGGGCGTTGCGTTGTCGTTTGGGGAAGAGGAAATCAAGAAATTGGGCCTATGCCTCAAGGCCTGTAGTGTCACCAGACTGGCCAAACCGCGTGTTACAATGGTGGGGCTTGCTCGCCGGTTTCCCAGCTGAATTAGGCTGTTGAGGGCCCACGCGGTGTTCGCGTTTTTCATGAAAATAATAATAATAACTGAACTGTGAATTTGTGTTGGGGTGCTGCTGACTTCACGCAGAGGTCTATTTGGTGTATAAAAAAAACCACAGAGCACACATGTGAGGGATAAAAGTTAGAAGAGGCGCATCGCCGAGGAGTAAAAGACCGGTGCGGATACTCTGAAAGCATGAATAGGGTTCATTTAGTAGGAAGATAGAACAAAAACACGGGTTCAATATCTGACCCCTAGTAAGTATATCAGTTTATAAATAATGGTTATTTCATTCCAAATGGATCCAGTGAAGCAAATACTTTATCGTTTGAATGGATATCAGTGACATTTCGTTTTGCAGGCTGATGGGTCGTCACCGCTGATCCTGAGGGGACACTGGGGCTCCATAAATTTTTCTGTGTAGGCTGGAAAAAGTCTATACTATTCATTTGAGTGAAGGACTGTTGAACCGTGGGGATTCCACTCATCTGAGGCTGCGTTTGTAGCCCAGGAGATGCGATGGTAGATGTGCTGTTCACATTAAAATGAGTGTAGCCGTCTTGATATTGGAAAACGTTCGTTTGTGCAGCGGATACAGGTACAGGGTTATGTGATGCCGTAAAGAAATTCGGCATGGCTTGTGTAGGATAGCGGGTGAATTCACCAACCTCACTCCTTTGGACACCATAGGGGGATGCTGCTAAATGTGGTTGCTGGGGTAGAGGTTGTGGGTAGCTGTGCGGTGGTGCCAGTTCAGATGGTTCATCGGGTTGAGGAACAGAAAAGAGATCATGGAGGATGTTCTCCAATGGGTTAGCATTAGAGGATTTATCTGGATTGCTAGCGGATGGGGTTGTACTCATTGGGGGCGATTCAGCAAGAAAGTTACTAAAAAAATCGATTGGTGGAGATTGTTGTTGGGTAGCAGCAACAATAGTTGCAGGGGATCCAGTTTGAGGGGTTGTTTTACTGGCCTGAGCAGATGGTAGGCCTACGGGAGTTGGTGCTTCGGTTGTCACGCATGGCTTTGTTATGGGGTTCAGTTCATATTGAATATTAATCGTTAATTCTTCTTTTTTCCCCTTATCAACGTACAGCTCCTTCACGAACGTTCCCTCGACGAAGTTTTGAATTGCATGGACATCCCCGGAGTGAGGTTTGGTTCCGTTAAAACGAGCGAGCCATATTTTTACAGCAACATCATTGCCACCGATATCCACTCCAACCACCTCCTTATCCGAAAATGTGCACATTGAGATGCCCTTTACCTTGTGCTGGAAGGAGCGATGTGCGGAGCTACATATAGAACATACAAAGATATGGAAATCGGTTACCACATACAGAGGACCTCGCACACCACAGTCAAAGCAGAACTTGTTCCCTTCCTTCTGCGCCACCCGACGTAGCTTGTCCTTGTTTCGTTCTGCGTTATGTTTGTTTAGATTCATGATTCTTTTTTCAAATGTTAGCTTGTTGCGTGTCTTAATATCTTTGTGGTTGTTTGAAGTTTTTTTAATTAGATATGAGGATTTGGTGCTGTTCAACCTGTTTGATTATTTGGTATGACTAGTCTGAAAGGTAAAATAGGGGAAGATATAAAAATAAAACAACTATAGAAATGAAGGGGTATTTTCTTGTTAAAATTTACCTTATTATCAATTCTGCTTCGCTTATCGTTGTAGCTGGTTTGCATGTTCATTTTTTATTTATATTTAAGAGTCATACGTCAACGAATAAAACACTATATTGACAAAGTGGATGTCATCAGGTCTGAGGTTTAGGTGCTTGAAACACAGTGGGTTCCTCTTTCATTTCCTTTGCATCAAGTACACGCCAATGTGGACTTTGAGATCTTTTCAGCCACTGAAAGTCGTCGACATTTTTGAAGGAGCTTTCAATGCGTTCTTGATTTTGTATTTCGCCCACATCATGTACCCATTCAATATGACTATTATAGGTGCGATCGTTATTCAATGTGGACTTTAATAGTCCGCTCCAGCAATAATACGGGCCGAAGCGCATTCCATCACATCGCTCAATAATGGGTATGGATGAACAACACACGTAAACATCAACGTCATGGCAGTTTTTCAAGCGCAGCTGATGGCAAGCAACATATAAAGTGCAGTTAAAGCAGTCCGAGACGAACACGGAGCCGGCGATAGGCAGGGATAGAATCGTGCAACCTACACAATCGTTTATAAAGGCTGCTTTTGAATGCGACACAAATAGTATTGTGTCTTTTGCATAACCGTAAACATTTTGGTTAGTGTTGGTTGTTGTGGTTACTATCTTATCACAATTAACAGCCGTCTTAACCGCATCAGAGGACTCACTCTTCGATAGATTCAGATCATTCTTGGTCTCAGTAATTATATTAGAGGACCTGTTTATTTTTGTGAACCTAAATTTCCGACTTTCCGAAGCTGATCCACGACGTTCATCCAGAGCTTGCCGCAAACGTGAAAGAACAGCATTTGCTTTGGACATATCGTACGCCGTAAGCGATACACTATTAGAGGCATCCTGTACGAGAGCCCTCATCTGATCCAGAGTTTTCTGTGCATTTTCTAGGGCGCCTTGATTGATGCTGTCATTTAACTCTCGTTCACTTTTAGTGAATTCATCGCTGAACTGCTGACGAAGCTGCGCCAACTCTGACGTGTCTCCTGAACGATTGGCGATATTTTCCTGACGCTCTTGCCTAGACTTCAAAAATTTCTCCTCCATGAAGGTGTTCTAGCGTTTGTTTCTTTGTATAACACGAGAGTAATGATAAGATATGAGTATATACAAATTGTAGAGGAAAATATATACACCAAAATGTGAAAGCAGTTACTGAAATGCATAAGCATTACCCAATAAATTATGTCATTATTCTAGGAAGATCATTCATACTTACTTTAAAATATAGCCGATTTGTAGAGTGGAAACCAGCTGAGGATCTCTTCATGAAACAATACACCCCACACTTGCGCAACTTTAGCAGGAATATAAAGACCTTTTCTTGAAATGCCACAGGTGCCCGGCATTTTCACTACTCAATCCGAAGGGTCATTTTGTCGCTTTCAAATGCGTCAAAAATATCTGCCGCAATTTTTCCGCATCCAAATTCCTTCCAAGCACCAGCACACGGGAGCAACCAAACGGCACCGTGTGACCTTCCATTGTTCGTACATCAAAGATATCCCCAATGCTTTGTAGTTGCAATAATGAGTATACGCCATCCTTGTACATCCAAATCGCCGCTTTACAGCGCACCGCCTCAAACTCGTTTTCCTCGCTGTTATAGAGCAGCTCCTTACAGATCAAGTCGATATCCTGGGGATCCCTCACAGCCAAACCGCCATCAAATTCTAACGAGATTGCCCTAATAGTGGAGTGGTGTTCGATGTGAAGGCACTCCAGCTCTTTCAGTGAGCGGGTGGTGTCAATAAAGAGAATATGGTGGAGGTCTGGTATTTGAGAGTATTGGCTTTGGATTACCTCCGCGATGGGATTTATAGCGCGTATCTGACTAAGCGCAGCTTCTTGTTGCGTTGGTGTGGCGATATCGCACTTGTTTAAAATGATCTTGTCCGCCAACAACAGCTGACAAGACGCAGTGTTCGATATGTCGCTGTCTGCCAGGTATTTCATAATGTTGACGGAGTCCACAAGAGTTACAATCCCGGAGAGGTAGATGCGTCCACAGAGCGCATCATCTTGCCAGAACATCGATGCAATGGGCCTAGGATCTGCAAGCCCGGAGGTTTCAACCAGAATGATGTCAAAGGTGCCTTTACGGCTAATTAACGATTCAAGGGCCTGAACGGTTTGAGTCTGCGCGGTGCAACACATGCAGCCGTTATTAAGTTCCAGCCACTCGTCATCATTTTTCTCAGAGCTTTTTAAATATAGGCCCTTTTCAATTGTTTTGCCAAACTCAAACTCATTCACAATAACAGCAATACGCAGGTTGTGTTCTGCCGAGATAACATAGTGCAGCAAGGTCGTCTTCCCACTACCAAGGAACCCAGTCAGTATAGTGACTGGTACTTTGGCTGAAATAAGATCTGGGCACTCATCATCATCACTCATTCTACGGAGTGGTTTATTCGAAATATAATTATTAACCCTATTTTTAGTCCTTATTATTCTAGTGATCTATGTGTTTGTGTATACAACAGTTTATATGAAACAGTAGAAGCTTGATAAAGGTTTTTAATACCCCATAACCCTTTAAAAGGGTGAATGCAAGGTTATATATAAAAAGGAAGTAGTGTGTTATTTGTAATAGGAAGTTTCATGCCTCAGACATCCCTGAAGAAGGTAAGGGGAGGGTTAGGTTTATATATATATATATATATGTTGTATATATCTTTACATCTTCCTTTTTCTTAGCTGAGCACTATAATCAATTAAATGAAAATATATCTCAGCTCCTCATCGCGATTGAAGGTTTCCACTACACTTGCGTTTTGATCTTGAAATATACACTTATATGAAATGCATCATTTATCATTGTTCTGTGCATCAGTTTGATTGGTTTCTTTCGCTAGCCTCTCTTTAATGCGAACTAACATGTCATTATAGGCTTTTTCTAAGTCAAACGAAGAGACACACCTCTTTCCATTTTTTTGCGCCCCCAAGTGAGAAGGACCCACAAATCGCTTTGCAGAATGGCTATCGTGTCTATCTGTCGTTTTCCGCGAGCTAACTTGCATAGAAATGTCTCGGATTTTCTGACTAGGCTCTGTCGGTAAAGAGTGAGAAAGGTAGTCTTCTACCACATGGTTCTTTGTGGTGAAGGATTCAGGGTGTTCTACATAATGGGCAATGCGTTTGTGAATATCATAGTATTCGTGAGGAATACTGCGATACTGAACTTCTTGAGGCTCAATCTCTACGGGCATATCGTTTGTATAACGTACTTTAGACAGTTTCAGCCAAATCGTTACTGAAAATTTCCGAATTTTTTCCTTACTAGGCTGAACAAAATGAATATTGATTCTAGATGCAGCCTTTTATCTTTGGGAACTAAAAGTATTTTATTATGAAGTATCTTAGTCATTGTGAAACCCATGTAAATCATGAGATTTGTACATTTACTTGTATAGCAATTTTGTATTATGCAGGACACTAATTTGACCGTAATTTTTTTCATTGTACGAACTGTATCATGCACTTGTACCTGCTGTTACTGTCGTTTGTTACCTCCAAGTCAGTCTTTTCCATTTTAGCACATTTGTATAATGCATATAAGTAACCATTCGACTAAGAAGTTGACACTTAATGATGTTTTCGTGTTATCGAAAGAATAAACTTTAATTTTATCATTAACAGACTATATTGATATTTTAAGCAGAAGGGTTGTAATGTTTTTTTTTTTACATCCCACAGAAGGCTTTGTAGGCAGGAAATTCATAGATGATACCATTCTCATTGTGTTGTGACTTGTCAAGGAGAATTCTTGGCAAAAAGTCCGATGGGTTTGGTTGCTGTCCGTAGATCTTTGGGTTTGAGACCGAGATACCACACATTCGAACTGGAGAACAGTCTTGGTGTTCTTTCGAGATAGATTGTCGTATATTACAGTGATTTACTGCAGGATACACATCCGATTCTTCACACAATAGAACTATTTGTTGGCACATTTTGTGATTTTGAGATGCTTCGATGAGGTGGATTGCAATGGCAACACTTAATCCAGTTTCTGCCCATACAAAGTTGGACCCATCTTCAGTATAAGCCCTTTGCCTTTTCATATTACCCACCAGTCGCGGCACGACATTTGGTAACAACTTGTCCCTGTTCATCTCCGATATCAGAAAACGTTTTCGATTTTCAATCTCCTTAAATGTTGCCTCTCTTTTTGCCGGAGGGAGATCAGCTTCAATAAAATGTTCAAATACAACAGGATCGATATCAAACCAGTATGCAATGGGATTCATATCGAAAATAGCACCGATATACTCCAGTGTGCAGCGCAGTATCTCAACAATATGCACGTAGTAGTCCGATGTCCGTGGTTCAATATAATGGTACCTCAAACAATGATCAAAGTAAGGGCCATCAATGATTACCAGGACTTGCTTATTGTTTTGCATGGCGTACATTGGTTTATACATGGGCACCACCTTCACCGAGGTACTTTCGGGTGAGATGTGGTTGTTGTCTTGATGGTTGGAAATGACATCTTCGTTTGCAGTGGGTGGAGTCGTAGCTAGCATTTCCTTGTTCTCTGCATCTTCATAAATATACGAAGAATCCGAAACGAACTGAGTGTTCTGGCACTTCCCATCTGGGTGGGTAGTTCCACACTGTGGGCAGTGCAGCTTGGTGCATGCCCCCACGGTATGCCCCTTCTCGCGGCAGTACTTACAAATCGCTTCTGGGCAGTGTGTGAAGATGTGTCCGGGGAGGTGGCAAGTCTTGCACAGGTGACCTTGAGGGCAATTCGCGGCCTGATGACCCGGCTCCTTGCATTGGTAGCAGATGCGGCCTTTGTACTTGATCGGGCATTCCGCCGCGCGGTGCCCGGGGTCGGAGCAGTGGAAGCAGTGGGTTTTGCTGTAACAGATCTGTGAGCTGTGGCCGTAGGCACCACAGTTGTAACACCGTGTGAGGGGGCAGGTCAGGGTCCGGTGTCCCCACTGATGGCACTGATAGCAGACGATGCCCTGGGACCGCGCCGGGTAGTTGGCCGGGACCCCCTGCGCCGAATCACAGCACTGACAAGACTCCCCCAGCCAGGGTTCCTCGCACGTCGCGTCGGGGTGGGCGAGGTCGGGCGGGGGTTCGGCGTTGTAGGTTGGGTCGTCACCCTGGCCGTATGGGGTTGATAAGGGGCAGTTCGCATTCGGGTGGGTCGATGAGGCGCAAACCGAGCACGCCACTAATGCTGGGACCGGAGGGTACTCCGTGGGGTTGACCATCTGCCCGTCGGATGGCTCGTCTACGGAATCCACGGCAGAAGGGATGACTGGCGCGGGGGGGATTCGCATAGGGTATAGGATGGGAGTTGTAAGGGAATAAACGTGTCCACACGCAGGCAAGTCCAAATAATGATAAGTCTACCACTTATGAGAATGAGAACTTCGGATATAATATGCCTTGTAGGAGGTCAAAAAGAGTCAATTATTGCTCTTTACCTATCTAGTTCAATTTGTGTTTTGCGTTACTGTACTGAAGATTTTTTAATAAAATTTCTGGAAGGTGTTGCTAGTAAATATAATTTTAAGTATTGATATAAATAATGTCTCAATGACTATAGAGCAAGAGAACCGTATTTTCACAACATTAAAGTCGAATAGTTTCGAGGATTTGCTCTGCAGAAAAATGATGCTCTTACTCTTTCCCTTTAATAGCAGCAGCAGGGAAATAAATGAAAATGGAGAGGGTAGCATTGCATTGGGAGAGAAAACCACAACCGTGTAACCGTTGTTGTTAAAATAAAAGAAAGCCAGAAAAGAAAAAAGGCTAATCGATCCATTGGAAAAAGTTACATTGCCGATTTGCACAGGTAAAGAACCGTTTCCCCTTAGAGGTTTCTTTTCGAGAAACAAGTTTCTTTGCTTGCACTCCACAATTACAAAGGACATTTTCCGCTGAGTTGCAATTGTTAGTTGTCTTTTCTTTAATCCCGACTCGCCTTGAGGTTGTATTATTTGCGCTCACCGACGGCAACGTGTAGATGGATCTCACCTCTGCCCTGCCTTCGGCGCGGGCCTCGTTTTTAGGCTGATATCTCCGTATGACGAGGTAACCCTGTAGACGGTGGTCGCAGGTTAAACACACGGTGTCTACCATATCCATCCCAGGAACCACCGGCATCGCCCCAAAGTCGAAGGTGAGCATCATGGTTTGACAGGTTGGGCATCGTTGGGTTGGATTGGGCGTGATTGCGTTTGCTTTAGGGAGGCCCACGGAGAAGCTGCAGGTGGGGTATCCCTTGCAGGACAAGTAGTAGCCCGTGGCGTTTGAACGCAGACGAAGGTCATTTTCCTTGCACGACTGGCACCGGGTGATGGCGAGCTGCTCCAGCCCCTTCGCGAGGGGGCAATTCGATACGGTGCACTGAAAACAGCGGAATTCTCCCAAGCTTTCCATCTCGGGAGGGGGGTTGGTAAAGCAGTGTGGGCAGATGGTATAACTTGTGTTTTTCTCCCTGTTGGTCACCTGTACCGCGTGAAATGAACACAGGGCACAGCGCTGTGAAAGGGGCTCGAGACGATTCAAGGCGCCGTTGGGCATACGGTACTGGCGTTCACACTGAAGGCAGCGAAGATGCCAAGAGGAGCGATCCCCATCCGCGTTCTCAACCAGTTCCATTGCCCGATGGCAGACCCCGCAGCTCATAAATTCGCTCTTTCGCACCTGTGCGTTGGTCAGATGGCGGGAGGGGTCGGCCCGATTCACAGGACGGAGGTGTTTGCAGAGCTCATTATAAAAAACGCGCCCGTTATGCTCCAATCGGTCGAATATCTCACGGTACAACTTCACCGACGCGTCGACGACCTGGGCTTTGGCGATCCCGCCCTTGACGATATCACCCATCGCGAGTTCCATTTGGGCGCGGAGTTGGGGCTGAAGTAAGCTCGCCAGCCCCACCACGTCGTAGGCGGAGGCCAGGGCGATGCCGAGGGTTGTGGGGACTAAAGTTTGCCGCTCACGCTTGACGTACCCGCGCTCGATGACTGTTTTGATGTGTTGGGCGATCGTCGCGTCGGTGCCGATGCCGTGATCATCCATCAGGGTGATTAAGTCGGTCTCGGTCAGATCCGCCGGGGCGGCCGTCCGGTGGCTTGCCAAACCCACCTCGGTCGTGACGAAGCGATCGCCGATTTGGTAATGCGGGATGCTGCTGCCATGCCAATTGTCGTAGGGGTAGACCGCGAGGTAGCCCCGCTCGAGGATGGTGGAGCCGCCGGTGGTGAATTCCTCCTCGCCGAATTGCACCCGCACCGACGTCGTCGCCGCCACGGCGTCCGGCGAGAGCGAGGCGAGAAAGTGTTGGGCGATGAGCGTGTACAGGCGGCCTTTTTCCTCCCCCGCCGGGCCGCCCCAGGCCTTGATGGGATGGATAGGCGGGTGGGCGTGGTCGTCGTGCGAGCCTTTGAGCGGCCGCCGGAAGCGTTTGCCGGGGTCCGCCAGCATGGCGGCGCTAAAGTCGGAAACCGGGGGGTAGTCCACAAGCCCGCGGACCAACTCCATCAGCTCCGCATCCTGAAAGGAAAAGGCATCGGTCTCGGTGCGGGGGTAGGAGATAAAGCCTTCTTGATAGAGCGATTCCGACAGCGACATGCACCGCTCGGAGGGGATGTGGAGGTGGCGTGAGGCTAATTTTTGGAGCACCACAGTCGCCAGAGGTACCGGGGGCGGGCGATGTCGAGGCCGTTGTTGGGCATTCACGACGCGGCATTGATTTTGATTCGCCGCGGCCTCCACCAGCATCTCGCCCAACACCACCGTTGCCCCCACTTGGTCGTACATCGCCCCGCGGCAGGAGCGGAAGGCGGTCTCGCCATGCCGCAGTTGAAGGGTGAAATAGTCCTCCGGGACGAAGGCCCGCTGCTCCCAATATCGCCGCACCACAAACCCCAAAGTGGGGAATTGGCATGGGCCAAAACTCAGCACGTGGGTGATGCCCTCGAAGGCGTCACCGTATCGAATCGTTTGCAGGCGAGTGAAGGCGGCGCCGATGCGGAAATCCATCTCCTGCCGCGCCTCGACCGCCTCGGAGAGATTGCGGTTGGGTTCTTTGAGGTGCTGAATGGCGTAGAGCAAGTCCCGCTTCGTCAGGGCGGAGAAATGAGCCCGCTTGGCCACGAGCTGGGGATTCTGTCGCTGGGCGATCTTCATGACCTCAAAGCAGATGTTTTCCCCTTCCCGATCACAATCCAGCCAAAGCACCAGCGTTCGTGATCGCTTCGCTAGCGTCTCGAGGTTCCGTTGGAGGTGCTGGAGCTCCGGCTTCACCACTTTGACTATCTGGGCGGTAAAAAGATCCCGAAATGGGAACCGGGCCCAGCTTTTGGTGTGGGGCGGAAACTCATCCTCCATGAGATGGCCAAGGACGGAGGTGACCAACATTGTGGTGCCGTTGAAGGAGAATTTGTAGACGGGGTTGGAGCGGCCCGACATCGGGACAGGGCGCGCATCGCCTCCGGAAAGGGCGTTGGCGATTTCCTTCGCAACACTGGGCTTTTCCGCGACGTTAAGCCATGTCGTCATCTATTTGGAGCACCAAAATGTAGAGTCTAAAGAGATCAGCTATTAGGTGGTAGTTATGGACTGTAGGTCCAAATTCGGTAAGTATAAATGACGGATAAGGATAGGTTATAGAAATAGAAGACATTTTAAACATACACACACACACACACACACACACACTCATACGTCACACACACTCAAGGAAGTAAGATAATTCACCCCTTTTGTAAAATTTCATTGATAACATATGCATTCATTTTTTGTTCAATCACGTCAAATATAAACAATTTTGAGTCTTATTAACTCACCACAAACATGGGGGAAAAAATGACTCTAGATTCGCTGCTTTCTTATATATTGTGGTTCCGTAAAATTATTAAAAATATCACTAATCACAACATTTATTAATGGTAAATATTCTCTTCACTCAAAATAATAATAATAAAAAAAGAATGCTAATAAACGTTAGTGACTAGATTTATCACACATCCATCACCTATTTGTAAGGCATACAAAAATACTAATCGGCTAAGTACTCGAAATGAGGTGACCTATAAAACAATGCGTACTTTCTTCAACTAGATGCATAAAAATAAAAAACGTATGAAATTAAAGTAAATAGTGTCCTACTTCTGAAGGCACATGTCCTAATTTGTATATTATCCGGTTGGAGCTATTGTGAATCTTATAACACGTGACTAAAATGCCCAATTTTTGTACGTACATTATTCTAATATTCCTTTCGTGTTTTTCTTTTCAGTAAACCTAGAATGCAATAGAGGTGTGTCCAAGACAAGTTTCATAACGAAAATATAATTTTATCTATAGAAAAAAAAATGTATACATACTTTATTTCTCTTTTTCAGATTTGACAAAACTGGACCTCTTTTCATAATATTTAAAATATGCACAAGTATAGTTATTTGTGCTCCACTCTGTGCTAGGCCTAAGCATTGAAATAATAGGGGAAAAAAAAACAAGAGTCATCACCACTACGGATCACACCTCTCCCCCTTCTTTCTTCATCTTTGCTTTCGATTGTGAATTCCCCCTCCCTCCCCTCCTCCCGATTCAGATTTGGTGGTTTAAGGCTGCTCATCGGCCCACAGGTTTAAATTATCGCGAAGAAGCCGCACGATGAGGGTGGATTCCCGGTAGGCCTCCTCGTCCAGAACTTCCACCTCCGTCACGGCCTCGTCATAGGCCTGACGGGCGAGCTGAAATCCTTTTTCGTGTTCTTTCATAATTTCGTAGTAAAAGACGGAAAAATTCAACGCAAGGCCAAGACGGATGGGATGGGTCGGGGAAAGCGAGGAGTTGGCCACCTCGGTGGCTTTTTTATAGGCCTCCAGCGCGGCATGGCGCTGGGTTTCATCCGAGGAGACCTCGGCGTAATAGCGATGATAATCCCCTTTCATTTTGAGGTAAAAGACCTTCGCCTCCCCTCCTTGGGCGGCGGGAATGAGGTAGGTATCGAGAAGACCAAGCAGGTCCTCACACACGGCAGCCAATTCGGGTGCAAATTGCCTTCGTAGGTTGACAATCAGCGCGGTATTCTCGCTATCCTCGTTCGCCAATTCACGGCTTTCGATGGAGGAAATCACTCGCCAGGCATTGCGGCGAGGGCCGATTACGTTTTTGTACGCCACGGACAAGAGATTGCGCTGCTCCGTATCGAGTTCGTTGTTTAGTTTGACCACTTTGCGCATACAAAGCACCATCTCATCATACCGTTCCGCCTCCTCGGTGAGTTTGGCCATAAACACCAAGTCGTGGAGGTTGTCTGGGAGTTGAAACTCGGCGGTGCTTCGTTTGGGGACGATTTCATCCTGAATCGCACTGTTTTGCCACTTAATGATTTCCGTCATTGTGTTTTTCTTTTTTTCCTTTTCAATTCCACGTAAAATGCAAAATAATCAACCAAATGTAGAAAAGCTGGTCAATAGTTATAAGGGCTAATTACCAATAATATGAAGGAATTCGATAGGGTGATCTGAAAATATTTCAAATTAAATATCTGCGCTATAAAAGTGTGTTTTTCAATCGAACAGGAGAGATGTCAATATCAATTAGGGCAACATAGAAGAGGAAAAAAGTACAATATGAGAAATGATACCGAGGTGATAAACTGTTTTCTAATTACGAGTTTACAGGGTGGAGATCCGGGAAAACAAAATCCACGCAGAGAATTAGAAAGACTACTGGGATGCAGGTGATTTTGTCTCTGAAATTGTCCACAGCCATTTTTGAATGAACAGGTCAGGAAAAGATGACGCCATATAGAACAAAACGTATAGATTAAAAGTAGGTTTCAATAGATTTAATGAATACAAAAAGTAAATTAAAGTCCGTGACACAAGCTAGTAAAAAAAATTATTCAATAAAACTTCGTTTTCATGGCTATGTTGGCCCAAAGCATTATCATTATTCAGTTTATAATCGTTAGACCTCACACTTCTTTATAGGATTCTGAAGTCTACCCCATTTTTAGAGGGGAGGTAATTCGTTTAGAAACGTACTATTCATCCCGTATCTTTTGAGTGGTTGGTGTTCCAAAAGAGTCAGGCCGATCGTCCATATTTTCATGCCGCAATTGGGAATACGGCGATGAACCCTCAAATCATGATTTGAATGTTATCCGAGGATGTACTTTGAGTCGTTGTGTTTTATAAACATGACCACCTCCAAGGAGTCGGGCTTTTTGCTGCGAATGAGTACAGGATCCAATATTACCCTTTGCCAATCGCCAAGCCTGTGGTGAAGGATTAAATACCGAAGCTTGGATCCATTTAGAAATCTACCCGTTTCAACAGAGGCTTTGCTTTTTATTTTTTCGTTCCTGGAATGGAATCATTTGGTTGAAATGGGCTACTTCGCATTTAGCCATAGAAGAAAACGACTTTTCGCTAGGCTTTAGGACAAGAAGTCACGGCGTCGAGACTGCTGTATTCAATGCCAACATTATGCGGCGTTTGAACCCCCATGGCATCTTTCACGTTCGCGGTGATAGCATAAACTTGAGTCAGGATTTAAGCAGAAATCGATATTCAGGAAGACCCAATGCCTTTAAACATAGTTTTTATTTTTGCAATCTAAACTAGTGGGTCGTTGCGTGTTCCGTAAGAAAAGAAGGATTCGTTAATAGGAACTTTTAATTTTAGGCATCATAGTCATGGTCTGAAGTTCTTCAAGGTTGCAATCTTTGTTGTGCTTACAAGTAAATAAATTGTGAAGGAAATCCCTTTTGTAAAGAAATACGAACTAGAAATGCTATACGCTGTTAGTGTATTGATAAGTAGTAGAGACAGAAAGTTCATTTTGATATGTTTCACACATCCATCAAAGTAAAAAATCAAAGCAAAGGCCCTGGGAACTATATCGTTTCCATAGGACAAGACTATAGGACTACTTTCCATTGTGGTATCAACTATTATGAGGTCAGATATGTGAATAAACTGTCTCAATAATCATTGATACTTCTACAAACAACAACAACAAAACCCAAAGCGTGTTCTAAATGGATTTATGAAAAAGTTTATGATAGTATAATGCAATCAATTTCTAAATCATGAACAAAGAGGATATATAATGGTAGTAAAAAAATCAAAGGGGCATAAATCTATCTATGCTTGGTTGATTGATTCTATAAATAAGCTCCGATAAAAAAGGGGAGCAATGAGGAAATTGGTGTGGGGTTGGACGTGGGCTATCATCTGGAAAGCTCCACTAGTCGATGATGAAGGAGTTCGGCCTGTTCATTTTGATTTTTTAGCAATTCAATCACATCGCACAAAGGCTTGGGATTGGGCTGGATGGCCTCTCCCTCCCCGACGTTGTTGGGTCGAGGGCGTGTGGGGTACTCGCGGTGCCGTAGCCCGGTCTCCACCTCCGCCACCGCGCGGATTAATTTTCGTCGGAGGGAGTTGCTTGTTTTTTGCTCCTTGAGCACTTTTTTTTTGTACGCCTTGACCTCCCGGACCAGACTCAGGATTCGTTTTTCCGCCGCCTCCTTGACCTCCACCAGTTTGGCTTGGAGCGTTTGGGCGTCCCGGTGGCACTCGACGAGCTCCTCCTCCTGGACTTCGATGCGAAGTCGCATTTTTTCCGCGTCGAACTCCAGCTCCTCGCACTTTTTCACCACCGCGGCGAGGCTGTCGAGGCGCTGCTCGGCCGCCGCCAGCTGCTCCGCGGCGTAGGTTTTCTCGGCGACCAACCACGCCTCCTGCTGGGCCGCCGCGGCGAGTTTGGCCTCGAGGGTTTGGTTTTCCTCGATTAAGGCGTCCTGGGCGGTTTGGCGGAGCTGCGCGGCGCCGCGGCTCCTCCCCTGGGCCTCCTCCGCGCGCTGGAGCTGCAGGTGGGCGCGTTGGGCCTCCTCGCGGGCGCGCTGGAGGCTGGCCTGGAGGGCCATCACCTCGGCTGCGGCCTCCTCGCGCGCGCGGTGGACCTGGCGCTGGAGGCTGCACTGCAGGTCGGTGTAGCGGTCCTGCCCTTCCCCCACCGCCGCCGTGAGGCCGTCCACCACCTCCGTCAGGCTCTCGATTCGCGCGGTGAGGCGATGCCGCTCCTTCGCCGCGGCCCGGGCCATGGCCTGGCGCTCGTCCTCGAAGGCCTGGGCCCTCTCCGCGGCCTTTTCCTCCATGGCGGCGAGCTCGCCGGTGAGGCGGTGGACCTCGCGCTGGCCCGCTGCGGCCTCCGCGGCGTGGCGGTCCTTGAGGATGCCGGCCTCGTTTTGCAGCTCCGCGGCCCGGCGGAGGGCGGTGCGGAGCTCCTGCACCTCGCCCTCCATCCCGCGCTGGCGCTGGCCCAGGCCCAGGCTCCGGCACTGCGCCTCCTGCAGGGCGTGGTGGGCCGTCAGGAGCTGCTGGTGGAAGCGCGCCTTCTCCTCGCGGAGCTGGGCCCCCTGCTCGGCGGCTGTCGCCTCCAGGGCCGCGACCTGCTCCCCGAGCAGCCGGGCGTGTTTGCCGTCCGCGACGACGTCGAGGCGCTGGAGGAGGTCGCGAATCTGGGCCTGGAGCTGCTCGACCTCCTGGTCATGCCGCAGGAGCAGCTCGGCCACCCCGCGGCGGGCGTTCTCCAGGTGCCCTTTGAGGTGCTCAAGGGAGACCGTGGCGGCGGTATAACGCGCCTTGTACGCGGCCGCCGCCTCGAGCTCCTCGCGGAGGCGGTGGAGCTCGGCCTGGAGCTTTTCCACCTCGCAAAGGCCGGCGTCGAGTTTGGCCTGTAGGGCGGTCGAGCGCGCTCGCTCGTCGTGGAGCTCCTGCAGAACGACGTTGTGCTTGCCATTCAAGACCGAAAAGTTCTTCTGGAAGTCCGTGCTGATCTGAAGTAGTTCGGCATAGGAGGCCATGGGTCGATGGATTTTTTTTCTTTTATATGTTAGGTGCGCTTGATGCGATAGCTGTGGGTTTTCCCTCCCCCCCTCCACCCTTCAAGGTAACAAAAATATTCTAATGGAAATTACAACCAAGTAGGGCAAAATGAGAGATGAAGAAATACTCGAATAGAGTTTTAAAAGCATTATTTTTTCTCCCTTATACACTTCTTGTTTGTCATTGTCTAACTTCATGGACTCCATTACCATTTTCGGTTGTGGAGAGGAAACCGACACTGGTGTTGGAATAATCATTTCCTTACACATTTGGTGGCATGATCCTCAAGCGATGAGTGTTGCTACACGGGCCCCAATGGCCGCACCAAGAACTGAACTACTAGCCGTTGTCGGCAAGGGCACCACACTGGCGTCGGCCACCCATAACCCCTCAATCCCTTGTACTTTCATTTGGGAATCCACTACATGTTGAAGTGCGCACGTCCCAAAAAGGTCTTCACTGCCTGTGGAGAATTTCCCGAGAAATGCGGCGGTTTCTTTTTGCGTATTCATCCCTCGTGAAGGGTGGACCAGCCGCACATCCAAGGCCGCGAAGGGGCCGACGTGTTGGTCTTGATTATCGGTGTAATAAACCGAGCGGAGGTTGGAGTTCTTCGCCACGAGCAACCCAGCCCACTGAATGCCCATATCCATACAAAGGACGTCATCTTTTTCGCTCAGCATCCCACTGCGTACTTGGATTTTCCCAGTTCTGGGATGAAGCCGCACTTCGCCCCTGCTTTGTGGGTAGTGGTGGGTAATCCGAAGGGTGAAGCCCTCGTGTGGGCGAAGGCGCACGCCGTTTCGCCAGCCTAGTTGTGGGGTGCGAAAGAACGCGATGGAGAGGTCGGCAGGGTTTTGGGTGGGCTGGGATCGCACGTACGCTACCGCTTCCGCGAATGAAGATAAGATCCCCGCGCGATCCTCGTTGTACTCCTTCCACTGGCCCCATATGTAGGGCAGATTGGTCCAGTTAAACGATTTACTTCGTATCCTCTTTTCCCCACCTTGGATGAGGAAAATCAAATCAGCGGTGCAGCCCTGAATGAGGTTCTGGCCTACCTCCGGAAGATCCACAACAGAGCCCTGAGGGCCGATGCCACTTCGTAAAAGCAGCGCGGGTGAGCCAATGGCACCCAAACAGACGATAATGCGCGGTGATTTAATCCACCGCCTGACGCCACCCCGTCGAACCTCAACGCCGGTCACCTGGGTACGATTGGTATCATCAAATGTGATTCGTTCGACATTCGTATTACTCCACAAAGAAAGATGAGGGGTGAGATGTTTACACTTTTCAATGCAAGCATCGAAGAGATCGACTCGGACGCCGCGGTCAATGAGGGACTGATAGGCGGAGAAGCCGTCCACGAGGCCGCCGTTGAGGTCCTCGTTCGGACGAAGGCCTGCGGCTTCACAGGCCTCAAAAAAACGTATATTTAACTGCGAATCTAAATTACTTAGCGATAGATCGGAGACTACTATGGGGCCGGCATCACCATGCACAGGGGATGTTGATCGGCTATTGCACTCCAGAGATGTGAAGAATGGAAGCATCTTCGCGAACGTCCACGCATCGTCGCCCCAGGCCGCGAAGTCCTCCGCACTGCCCCTCCGATAGGTCATATCATTGCAGAGGGTGGAGCCCCCTAAGCCGCGGCCCCTAACATAGGTCAGAGACCGCCCACCCAGGTTATCCTCAGGGACCCCAGCGTAGCGATGAAGAAAGCGCCATGAGCCTGGCCATTGCGTGATAAAGGGTTGAAGGAAAGGGATTCGCATAACCGATGGGGTATAGCGCCTACTGCCGATTTCCAGCAACGCAATCGAAGCATCCGGGTGTTTGGCGGCTAGCCTAGAAGCCACCGCACAACCTGCCGCCCCAGCGCCTAATACCAAAAAGTTGAACACATCAGACTTCATGATGGTTGGGACGACAAACTTCAGTATAAGCATATATACACATTATAGATAGTGGTGGTGTGTGTACGATGTGGTTCAAGAAGTAAGCAAAGAAGTTCGTTTGATGTAACACGTTAACGCAGTAATTCCCTTCCCCTCACTGCCTTTTGCATGACCATATAGGGGTGAAAAAAAATGTCCCTCACCATGCAGAAAGAGTATAGAACATTAAAAGAAAGCGAAATGAACTAAACTACTATAAATAAAAAACTATTTACTTATTCATGCGCATCAGATGTTACAACAAATATACCACCTCATAATGTTGATTTAAAGAGTAGGGTTAGGGTCTACACACGACCCCTTATCGAAGATATGCGTGACCAATGGATAAGTCATTGCAAAAATCCCCCCTCCCCCCTCTCCCCCCCAAAAGCAAGAACAACAACAACAACAAAAAGCGAATAACAAAGGGTAATGGGCTTCATGAAGTTAACACTCGATGCTACCTTTTCTGAGATTTGTGAGCAATTCAGATCACCTGTGCAGAAATTGAAAGTATAAAGCTTTTTGGCAATCACCTTGATGAACTATTTTGAAATGCAGAGCACAGATCCAGGTATGTTTGCTCATGTACGGAAGCAAGTCTATCAAACAATATTCAATCTTTTCCAAGATGCAGGATAACACTCTCTTCTCTTTCTTATTGAACAATTTCCTGAAGGCGTGCAGCGAGGTCCAGACATGTCTGCAATTTCGGTATGCCCTGTATTACGAGGCCTAACACCTGTTGTTGGTGAAGACTAACGTGGACGATGCCAGAATCTATAGAAGCCCAGCAAACCGAATTCGCATCGCTCGATTCCGCCTGCCGTAGCGCCCTTCGCATGAGCCGTGTGAGCGGTATGGCCGTATCGGGCTTCAAATCCCCAATCGCATTCCCGTAAAGGCTGCCGCCCTGGGGCTCCCACAAAAGCCAGCTCACGGTGCTCTTCGGGTGGTGTTCGCGCAGATGCGCGTCCACCCGCTCCACCGCGCGGCAGTGCGCGTCGCCGGTGAAGTTCGAAATCGCGGCCATCTCGAGTGGGGAGATCATATGCTCCAGCACCCCGCAAGTCCCCACCAGCGGGGTTTTGGACGGCCCTTTCCCGTGCGGGGCCATCAGCCCCATCGCCTCCTTCGCGATAGCGGCGGCGGCGGCGCGGAAGAGTGCCTGGGCCCCGGAGCCGGGCGGCGGGGGTGGGAACACCAGCAGCACCCCAATCGGCGGGGCCGTGTGCAACACCCCCTCCCGCCGCCCGTCCGGCGCGAAGCACCAGCGGAGGGGGTCGCGCGGGGGCCCGTGTAACAGCCAGCCCAGGCGGACCAGCGCCAGCTGCGGGCCCGGCAGGGAGCTGGCGAGGACCCGGAGGCTGTGGAGCTCCAGCA